GATGGACACAGGGAAGAAGTAATTATCAGGAGGAAGTGGGAGGGGAGCTGTTGCATTGTGGTAAATTGCGGTCAATGTCATGAGACAAAGTGTACGTGAACTGCCGTATGGAAAGTGAATTTGCTCTGTAAATCTTCACCCAAATCACAATTAAAAAAAAAAAAAGAAGAAGAAGAAGAACTAGTTGGTGCCCAGGTACCACTGCTGACCTCCCTAAAAGTATCTGTGAAAGGGATCACAGTAAGAGGTCCTGGATAGAGAGAGGGAAAATGTAGAACTAAACTGCAAATCATAAAAAGACCAGGCTTACTGCTCTGATCAAGACTTGTAAAACCCCTGAAACTATGGCCTTCAGATACCCTTCAAGCTAGGAACTTGAAGGGTGACTCAACTCGCTGCCAAACAACAGATAGGCCTTTAAGGTAAAGAGTAGTTATTAGGGGAGTATGCATTCATTAGAATAATCAAGCTGCTAAGGCACCAGGGAGCCGCCATCTTCTGACCTCCTCTAACCCCACAAGAGAAAGAGAGAATCACCATCAGTAGCTCAAGGCCTAGTCCTGCGAGGCCAGACATGCTGCCTCCCTTCAGCCCTTTCACCAACCATTCTTCTCGCAGCACCCACCACCTCTCTGCTGGGTTCGATAATTCGCTGCAGTGGCCACACAGAACTCATAGATTATGGGGTTTATTAGGGGAAGCAACAGGCTACAATTCAAGTTCAGGAAATGCTCAGTCTCTCTCAGCCCGCTCTCTCTCAGCCAACAGTCTCTCCTAGTCCCTCTCTCAGCAGTGTGCATCTCTCAGTGACTATCTCAGCAGTGCACGCCTCAGCAACGTATGTCTCTCGTGTCCCTCAGCTGGCAGTGAGAGATTCCTTCTTACTCTAGGAGGGCTCCTTTTGAGCCTGGCAGAGTGGCCAAACTAACCAATCCCAACATCAGAATTCTAAACATCTAAGAGACAGTGAACTTCCCAGAAAACTACTTTGTGCTGCTCCCAACAGAAACACCCCAGGTGGATAACTTTAACAATCAGGAACTACTCAGTTGTTCACTGCAAATTTCACCATGGAATTTACAAAGACTTATGGCTAGAAAAGTCACACTGTAATTCATACACTGCACAAGCACCTGAGATCAAAGGGACAGCACTTGCCTAGGGATAAAGCTAGGAAGGTGGGAGGGGATGGGAAAGATTGAAAGATTAAGGTAGTAACTTTAAAAAAATTATAAATAGCTAACATCTATTAAAAGTTTACTATCTCCCAAGGTATTTTATAGATGAAGCTTAGCAGATAATAAAGATTGTACCACTGGTAATAAGTGAAGGTAGAATTTGTACTCAGGCAGTCTAGGTTTAAACTACTTATCTTACTTTTATTAATTTTGTGAGCTACCATAATAGCCTTAGAAAATTAGCATTTCCATAACATACAAGGATTAAGTTAGACATCTGCAAAGAAAACTGTCAACAGTATCACCTTCATGTGATACGTCTATTAAGAAAATGGTACCCTTTAAGATTTACACAATAAAAACTACAGAAATTCAAACCTAACAATAAACCAAATGGAAAATATATTTTTTTTTAATTTTTTTTTAAGTATTTCCTTTCTCTGTAAATAACCTCAGAAAAGTAAACAACTCCAGTAATAAAAATTTATGTAAATCATACAGCAGCAGAAGAAATAAAAATATCTCACCTGAGAAATATACTTCTTCCATAGTGGCTCATCTTCACTGATATCAAATTCATTCCAGCCATGGAAGGCTCGCCTATGACTAACTTCACATTTGTTTAGGCCATTCTGAAGATCAGCCTATAGATATTATGTGTAATAGTCATTGAAAATGTAAGCACAGAACACAAGAAAAAGAAAAAAAAGAGGATATAGAGCATGATTATCATATTTATAGGAAATTCTGTAATACAGTCACAACTAATTTGGAGCGGCAGAAAACAGATCAGTGGCTGCCCGGGCCAACAGTGCCAATGCAGGGGAATAACTAAAAGCAAATGGGTGAGCTTTTAGGAGTGATAAGAAAACCAAACCAAACTCACTGCC